ATTAGTTAAGTTTTTGGGGAGTCAAAGTTACATGTAAGTTATTAGTAGTTAAGTTTTTGGGGAGTCAAAGGTTTCAACTGTGTATGGTGTCAGCACCCCTAAACCTCCATGTTGTTCAAGGGTTAACTGTAGTTCAATTATAAGTGGGCAAAAGACCTGAATAAGCACTGTCTCAAGGAAGACAGCAGCACATGAAAAGGTGCACAACATCCCTAATTATCAGGGAAATACATATCAAAACCACAATGACAGATCACCTCACACCTGTAAGGATTGCTTTTATATAAAAGATAGCGGCCCAGTGCACAAAATTCATGCACAGGTAGTGGGGGGTGTTCCTCAGCCCAAACTGCACCCTCTCCAATCTGGGACCACTGGCTCCCAACTGCTCACCTGCCCGTCTTCCTGATTGCCCCTAACCCCTTCTGCCTGTCAGCCTGATCACCCTCTAATCACTCCCCTACCATCCTGATGCCTAACTGCTCTCCTGCAGGCCTGGTCACCCCCAACTGCTCTCCCCTACTGGCCTCGTCACCCTTAACTGCTCTCCCCTGCAGGATTGATTGCCTCCCAACTGCCCACCCTTGCAGACCTGGTCCCTCCCCTGCTTGCCATCTTGTGGTGGCCATCTTGTGTCCATAGGGGGGCAGAATCTTTGACCACATAGGGGCAGCCATCTTTTGTGTTGCAGTGATGGTCAATTTGCATATTACTTTTTATTAGATAGGATAGAGGCCTGGTGCATGGGTGGGGGCTGGCTGGTTTGCCCTGAAAGGTGTCCTGGATCGGGATGGGGGTCCCCTTGGGGCATGGGGTGGCCTGGGTAAGGGGCCTGTGGTGGTTTGCAGGCTGGTTATGTGCCCCCCCTTCCCTGGCGACTCAAGCAGAGGCCTTGGTATCTGGGATTTATTTATCTTCTACATTTGAAACTTTGTAGCCTTGAGCGGAGGCCAGGCAGGCCAGGAAGTTTGGCTTCCTCCATTGCCAGGAAATCCAAGCCTCCTGCTCGCTCCTTGGCCACAGCCATTTTTGTTGGGATTTATTTATCTTCTATAATTGAAACTTTGCAGCCTTGAGTGGAATCTATGGCCAGCCAGGGTGTGCAGGAAGCTTGGCTTCCTCCATTGCTGGGGAGACCCAAGCCTCCTGTTTGCTCTGTGGCTGCAGCCATCTTGACTGGGTTAATTTGCATATGCTCCTGATTGGCTGATGGGCGTGGCTTGCAGGTGTAGTGGAGGTACAGTCAATTTGCATATTATGCTTTTATTAGATAGGACAAGAGATAAGTGTTGAAAGGATGTGGCGAAAAGGGATTCGTTGTACACTGTTGTTGTAAATGTAAGCTGGTGCAGCCACTACAGAAGACAGTATGAAGGTTTCTCAAAAAATTAAAAATAGAACTTCTATAGGATCTAACAATACAACTACTGGGTATATTTCCAAAGGAATGAAATCAGTATCTCTGAGAGATATGTGCATTTCCATGTTTGTTGCAGCATTATATACAAGTAGGGGCCCAGTACGTGAATTCGTGCAACTCGAAGGAACTGTGGGTTGTGAGGCTGCAGTAGGCATAGGGACAAGTCTCAGCCCATCCTCTGCATCCCCACCTGGTGCCTCCTGCTGCTGCTGCTCCTGCCACAGCTGCTCCCATGTGCTAGCTAACAGCGCAAGCCCCATTCACACCTGCTGATGGTGTTAAGTGACTGGGGCCAGCGCCATCAGCAGGTGCAAGCGGGGGCTGCTGCCCTGATCACTTCTTAGGAGCAAAGGGAGATGGAGAAGCCCTGAGGGGCGATCAGGGCTGGCAGCCACTGCTCACACCTGCTGATGGCACCGAGTGATCAGGGCCCTGGTGCTGATAGCATGTGTTAAGGCTGGGCAGGACCACGGCACGTGGAACCAAAAAATTTTCAATAACAATTACAGGCTTGTTCTCATGATAATGACTGGTGTCCCGCTTTGGTCTGGCACCTCTGATAACCTAGTCCACCATTCTACCATGGCCGCCAAGTTCCATGCGCACCCCCTGGCAGTCAGTGTACAGCATAGTGACCGGTTGTTCTGCATTTAGTCTATTTGCATATTGGGGTTTTATATATATATAGATAACCAATATATGGGAATGAGTTAAGTGCCATTGATAGATGAATGGATATAGGAGATATGGTAAATATCTATCTTTACTAATAAAGAGCTAATATGCTAATGGTTGGGACACTGTAATGAGTAATAACTGGACCATTAGCATATTAGCTCCTTATTAGCTCCTATCAGCAGCAAGCTGCCTGCATGGGACACTGTAATGAGTAATAACTGGACCATTAGCATATTAGCTCTTTATTAGCTCCTATCAGCAGGAGGCTGCCTGCATGCACGGTGGGGGTATTAACCCAGAGTTGGGGCGGAAGCGGGGAAGCACCAGGAGGAGGTGGGACCATCCTGTGCCAAGGAGAGCTGGGGTGAGAGCCTGTAGTGCCTCCCTCACCAGTCTTTCACCACCCATCACTTGCACTCAGAGCACCCCACTGCCCACCTGCCAGGGGAAGGAACATAGCATAGCAAGTGGGATGTTCCATGTTCTCCTCTGGTGCCATGACGGGAAAGAGCCGCTGTATTGTTCAGGAGACAGGGTGGAAGTGGGGAGGCGCCTGGAGAAGGTGCTAAGGGTGGGGCTTAAAGTGGCCAAAGAAGGCCATATGGGTTGGGGGCTGGACCAGGCTTGCTGGAGCTCTGCATGGGGAGGTTCAAGTGTCAAGGCAGGGTGGTGGGTGGGTGACCAGGGCCACACAATTTCACGTGCCAGGCTCCTAGTATGTATATAAAATGTAATATTATTTAGCCTTGACAAAAAAGGAAATCCTGCTATTTGTGATAACATGGGTAAACCTTGAGAACTTTATGTGAAATGAATAAACCACATAATATATGATCTCATTTATCTGTGAAATCTTAAAAAACAAACCATCAGCCCTGGCCAGTGTGGCTCAGCTGGTTGGAGCATAGTCCCATGCACTACAAGGCCTTGTGTTTACTTCCCAGCCATGGCACATACCTAGGTTTTGGGTTCAGTCCAGGCGGGGGAACATGTGGGAGGCAACTGATCTATGTCTGTCTGTCTCTCCACCTCCCTCCCTCCCTAAAATCAATAAAAAAATAAACAAAGAACAAATATATTTAAAAAACAAAAACAAAACATGCATATAAACAACACATAGAGCCAGAGTACAATGGCAGTTACCAGGGGGTTGGGTAGAGGTATGGGAAATAGGGAAATGCTGGTCAAAGAGCATAAGCCTCCAGTTATAGCATGGTAAGATCTGGGGATCTAATATACAGTATGGTGACCATAATTAATAGTTATTGTACACTTGAAATATGCTAAGAGAGTAAATCTTAAGGTTCTCACCACACACACACACACACACACACACACACACACACACAGTAAATTATTTGAGTAGTAGGTATAAACTGACTGTAATAGTCATTTCACAATGAACATGTATATCAAATCATTGTGCTATGTACTTCAAATATATACAATTTTAGCTGTTAATTATACCTTGATAAAGCTAGAATAAAGAAAAAAAAATAATTCAACTGACTTAAGATTTTGAAAGGAGTGAAGTTTGCTACCTTCAAATTATCTATCTAAAAAAAACTGGGGTATTTAAAAGAGTGGAAAATGAGATCTGCTTAGATGGGACTTTTTCACTAGTACATTTATAAACCAGGAGATGAAGAAACAAGTAAGAATATCAGAATAATAGTGAAAGTACCTTATTTGGAGAACTTACCTTTTGCAGAGCAAATAAACCTACAATTTTAGGAAACACCTTTTGGATGTATCTCAAAAGATAATCACTTTATATATACACTTATAAAACAGTAATTATTACATTATAGTGCAGTTATTTTATGTAGTTATTTTTAAACTAGAGGCCTGGTGCACAGATTCATTAGAGGGCATGTCCAGCTCATCTCACCCAGTCCCAGTTGGCAGCTGGCTGGTGAGGGACCACCGGAGGTTGGTAGCAAGGGAGGGACTGTAGGAGGGCTCCAGGGTGTGTCCTGTCTGGCCCATCTTGCCCAGTCCCGATTGGCCGGACTCCAGCAGCAAGATAACCTACCGGTTGGAGCTTCTACCCCTTGGTGGTCAGTGCGTGTCATAGTGACTGGTTGAACGGTCGAGCAGTATGACACTTAGCATATTAGGCTTTTATTATATAGGATTTCTCTCTACTTCTATCTTACCCTGTATCAAGGGTAAAGGTTGTACCTTATGCCTTTTTGTACTTCTATATACTACAGCAATTTTCAACCTTTTTTCAGCTCAAGACACACATAATTACTAAAATTCTATGGCACACCAAAAAATATATTTTTTGCCAATATGACAGATTCATTCACAGCAGATGGCTATTGTTATGCTGGCTGTTGTAATTATTTTATTGGATAATCTAAGGAGAAAGAAGTCAATGCCCCTAACTAAATAGTTAGGTATTGCATGTTTTAAAAATTCTTGTGTGCCCTGGCACATTGGTTGAAAATCACTGATCTAATCTATTATGTAGCTTACATTCTATAACAATTTATTGACCAAAAAGTTAGTGAGGAAGTCTGTAATTTCAGTTCCAAAGGAAATTAAAAAGAGGAACTAACTCAGGCCTTTGTCTGGTATCAAAATTGCAGCACCTGAATTAGTTAAGCAGATTTTTTCTTAATGGATCCAGGTCATGTCTGGCTCATCGAGATTAAGAAGTCTGGATTAAGGATAGTATAAATGTGAGTGTGTTTGGAAGTGTATCTACATGTCTTAATGAATTCAGAAGCATACAGAAAATGTTTTAAAATTATTACATTTAATATCTTCTTAGGCCTCTAATAAAAGAGATGGATAGGTAATCTCTGAAAAAAGTGGAAGGATATAGCCAGAAGAATTTTGCAAACTCCCTCAGAAAAATAACCAAGTAGAGGGCAAAGAGAATTTAACCTACCTCTCTCCTTGCAAAGGACGAAAAGGAATTCAGCAGCAATTTGTTTGACTCCAAGGTCAACATGTGTCATGAGGCGCACCAGCTTATTTCTCACAGTTGAGCCAACTTCAGGTCGATTTGTCACATCCCTCAGCGGTGGTAAAACCTAATGGTATAAATGTAAAAACCATCATCAATTGTGGGTACTAGAGCAAGAAAGGATGACACCATGAAACTGGTCAGTCTTGTACTGTCTACTGAACCCAGTTTTGTAAGCATGAAAAAAGCATTTAAAAAATAAATAGGCTTCTTTCCAAATAAAATAAAACTAAACAGCAATAACAAGCCTCAAATAAGTTCATGCTTGTACTGAAATTTCGTTTGAAGAGAAACATCTCTTCACTATACTAGCATGATATACCCAAGTCCGTTTCTGAGCTTTATTCATCACAGCACCTGGGATGCTTCTGCTTGCCTATATCAAAATCCATTTTTAAAGTGTGGGTCAAGTTTCTCTTTTTTCCATGAGGCTTCCTTATTACCCTGACTCATATATATTTTCCTTTCTTTTAATTCCTGCAGCATTTTCTGTTCACTAGAGAAAACATCTGTACTTATGCTTTTAATTGTTTTATTTTATAGTAAAAAGGCTACTAATTATTACTTCTTATATGCTAGTTGCTGAAATTGATGACACTTTTTCTAGAGACCTGGTCCGTGAAAATTCATGCACTGGAGAGGGGCCTTCCCCCTCTCACAGTCTGGGAGCCCTCAGGGATGAGAGGCAAACCAGTGATCAGGGAAAGGCAATGCCCACCTCACACCTCTGCTGCTGCCACTGCCGGTAGTGCAAGCCTCGGCTGGCTCTGCTTACCTGAGCCTTCGGCAGCTGCCATATGAGGCTTGCCTGCTCCTTGGGCTGGCCCTGGAGGCTGAGGGGATGGGCACCGCCATCTTGTGGCTGTGGGTACCACAATCTTTGAGGGTGTGGCAATCAATTAGCATATTCCCTCCTTATAGGCTATGGGCACCTCCATCTTTGAAGGTATGGCAGTCAAATAGCATATTCCCTCCTTATTGGCTGTGGGTGCTATCATCTTTATGATGGCATGATGGTCAATTTGCATATTCCTTCTTTATTAGATAGGTTAGATAGGATATTCTGTATAATCAATCCTCACCAGAACTCTTAATGCTTCTAGCAGAGCTGTTTCTTCTAAAGGTCTCTATTTTAGTGCATGGCAAGCCATTCTTCTGTTTGGTACAAAAACCTTGGAAATATCCTGACTCCTCTTTCACATCAAATCCATCAGCAAATTATTTCAATCCTACCTTCAAATATATCTACAATTCAACCACTTCTCACTCCCTTGTCTAGCATTACCAAATCCAAGCTATCATCACTTCTTATCTGGACTACTGCCACAGCTTTCTAAGTGGTCCTGGCTTCTACCCTGGTCCTTCTATGATTTATTCTCTACAAAGAAGCTAGAATGATTCTTTGAAAGTCAGATCATGTCACTGCTCTTCTCAAAGTCCTCCAGTTCCCATGGCTTCTCATCTTACTCTTAGTATAAGACAGAGTTCTTACAACTCCTTTAGGCTTCACATATTCCAGCTTCCCGTTACTTTCCTGACTTGTTTGCTATTACTTTCTTACACTGCTACAGGCACAAAAACCTCCATGGAGCTCCTTAAACACACCAAGCACTTTCCTGCTTCATAGTCTTTGCATTTGCTGATCCCTCTGCCCAGAAACTCTTTTTCCAGAAACCTACATGGCTTATCCCCTCACTTCTTTAGGTCTCTGTTAAATTGTCAGTTATATGAAGACATTTCTTGACCATCTACATAATTAGCCTTTAGACTTCTCTTTCTTTACCACCCCCCACTTCATTTTCCACATAGCATTTATCACCACCTGACACTGTATATCTCTATGTTTTTACTGTCTGCCTTTTATAAATTAGGCACTATGCTAACAAATGAGGATAGATACAAAGTCAAATACTAATTTACTGTGCCAGACCTTTTATGTGTATATTATTTTATTTAGTCCATTCAACTTATTTCTTTCCTTCCCTCACTCTCTATATTAAATGCCTACTATGTATTAAGAGGTACCAGAGGCATTGGAAATATAACAGTAAGTAAAAACAGAAATTAAGTTTCAGAAAATTAAGTACTCTACCCAAAAGGTTTATAGAATGCATATTTTAATGTCTCTGAAAGGGCAGATTACAAGGCTCTTTGTGCACTATAGCCACAAAGTAATTGCACAATAAATTCTTATTTGATTCAGCCAGTCATACTGTTTACCTCCTCTTTGTAGAAGACTGAGAAATGTAAAACATGATTTCTTGTAATATGTGCTTATAGTTACAGAGTACAGAATCTTATAGAAAAAAGAGGTAATATGCAAATTAACCCTCATGCCCTCAAAAGATGGCTGCCTATGACTAGGCCAGCAGGGGGGTTAGTGAGGGATTACCAAAGGACTGAACATCAGACTGTGTGGGACAACCAGACCAGTGTTGGGGGGGGGGGCAGTTAGGGATGACCAGGCTGGCAGAGGGTCATCTGGGGGCGACCAGGCTAGCTGGGGGAGAGGGGGCAGTAAGGGGTGATTAGGCTGGCAGCAGGGGTGGGGTGGGGGGGGCAGTTAGGAGCGAGCAGGCTGGAAAGGGAAGTTAGGGACGACCTGGCTGGCAGGCAGGTGAGTGATTAGGAGTCAGTGGTCCAGGATTGTGAAAGGGATATGTGACTGCCAGTTTAGGCCCGATCCCTGAGATTTAGACCCAATCCTTGGGATCAGGCCTAAACTGGCAGTCGGACATCCCCCAAGGGGTCCTAGATTGGAGAGGGTGCAGGTTGGGCTGAGGGGACCCCCCTTTTGTGCATGAATTTTGTGCACCAGGCCTCTAGTCTATTAATAAAGATTATCACACAAAAATTTTGTTAGCTATATTTTGGGCTTCTTAAAACAAATTTAAGTGAAATTTTGTTTTTATTGTTTATATAGGACTCCCAGACAAACTCCATCGGTATGGACTCTTTCTATTATCTCCCCAATACTACCCTCTAATACTTTTTCTTTTCTTTTCTTTTTTTTTGTTTTACAATATTGTCCAGCTTCTCTTTCAAACCTACAACAGCCTCATCTCTTCTATATGCCTCTCCAGACAAACCCAACCTGGATCAGTAATTTTCTACCATCTGTAACTATTCTCTTTCTATCTGCCCAAATACAGAATACTCAAGATCAATTTCCTTTGGGTATGCATGAGGAAATTTAATCAGGTAGTAAGTGTAGGGCATAATAATTAATTAGGCATGGTTCCATTTACAATATTGTCAAAGTTAATCACCTGTTTCTTTAAGTTCTACCTTTCTTGAACATCATAGACTATAGTCCATCTTCCTTAGAAGGAAATGTGGATTTTTGTATTGTGCCTTGTACCTTTAGTTATCTTTTACTTGTCATGTCTCATCTTTTTATCTATACTGTGCTGTTTCTTTGAGAACAAGGGATGGACCTCATAATCTTTTGAATATACATGTGTGGCCCAAAGCCTTCATATAAAAAAGTTGTTTAACAAATAGATTTTTTTGGCTGTCTTGGTTATAGATAGCAAAATCTAAATAGCTTAGTCATAACTGGATCTCTTATGTGAAAAAGCTGAAATGTATAGGACTGAAATAATTTTCATTTATCTTCTGCATCAAGTCCTCTTAGTCATGGTAGAATGTCTTACCATAGTACAAGTTGGAAATGACCTTAATTTATTAGTTAATTAGTTTATTTTGCTTAAGTGATTATTCATGCTTTCATGATACCTCTCCCTTACTCCAATAGACTGCAAATCCCTCAAAGATAGACTCTCTATTTTTTTATCTCTCCTCATCAGCAATAACTATTAATGTACTTTTTACAGAGTAAAAGTGCTTACTAAATCTTTACCATAAACATAGAGGGGGGAAATCAACATGGTGTATTTATTAGGAGAAATCCTATATGGCAATAAATGAACAAGTAAGTGACTGGTGGTACCATGTACTGGAATGTGTAAAGAAAGAGAAGAAACAGGATGGAAAATCAGGAGATTAGTTTGGGATATGTTAAACTTAAGATATTTACTACACATCCAATGGGAGGAGATGAGTAGGCAGTTTGTTATTTAAGTCTAGACCTTAGGGGATAGGTCAGGGCTGGAGACAGCAATTTGGGAGTCATCAGTATTTAGATGATTTTCAAAATCATGACTGCTGAATGAGATCAAAGATGAGTAAAAGGAAAAGACAAAGTATAGAAAACTCTCCTGAGGAACACTGCATAAAGAAGAGCAGAGAAATGGGGAGGCAGCTTGAGAAGTGGGATTAAGGAAGGGTTTCCCTTTTTTTAAAAAAATAAAATATATATATATATTTTATTGATTTTATACAGAGAGGAAGGGAGGGAGATAGAGAGTTAGAAACATCGATGAGAGAGAGTCATTGATCAGCTGCCTCTTGCACACCCCCTACCAGGGATGTGCCCGAAACCAAGGTACATGCCCTTGATCGGAATCGAATCTGGGACCCTTCAGTCCCCAAGCCGACGCTCTATCCATTGAGCCAAACTGGTCCCAGGGAGGGTTTCTTTTGCTGTTATAATAGAAGATTTATTTGTATGCAGATGGAAATTATCGAGTACATTAAAAAAATACTAATGTAAGAAGAAAGAGAGGTACTACATGCAGGATCAAAGAAGATGAGAAGGTGAGAGGAAAAGAGATCCAGGATAAAAGTGCAGAGGCTGGCCACAGAGGGGAAGATAAAAGATACGGTGGTACAGATGAAGTGATGGAAAGATTTTTTTCTTTTTAAAAAATATTATTTTTATTGGTTTTAGAGAAGAATGGAGAGGAGGAGAGAGATTGAAACAGCAATAATGAGGGAGAATCATTGATCAGCCGCCTCTTGCATGCCCTTTACTGGGGATCAAGCCCGCAACCAGGACATGTGCCCTGATTGGGAACTGAACTGTGACCTTCTGGTTCATAGATCGACACTCAACCTCTGAGCCACACCTGCCAGGCAAAAAGACGATTTCTTACTATGATCTCTAACTCCTAACATCCTACTTCAAACTTTCATCATCAGTTCTCTTTGGGCTAGTATCCTCACATCTACTCACACTTGTCTAGTCTATTCTACATACAGTTGCCAGGGTTATCTTTAAATATGAATGAGGTCACATCATTCCCTTACTCCAAATGGTCCAATGCTTTCCCATTTCACTTGAAGAGAATGAAAGGTCCTATACACGCTTATGTTATTTAGTTCTTGTCTATCTCTTTTACTTTGTCCATAACTCTTACCCCTCACCCTTGCACACTTATTTAGTTTTCTTGCTTTTCCAAAGCATCCTCTCCTCTTAGGGACTTCGAATTTGTTCTCTCTGGTACATTCTTCTTCCAGAATATTTTCAGAGATTCTTTTCTTACTTATCAAATTTCTGCTCAAATTTTATTTCCTCGGGGAGGCCTTCCCTCATTCCCCTAAGTCTCCCCTTTCCCTGCTGTACCTATTTTCAGAACACTTATCACTACTTGCCATTATATTATATATTTATTTGTTTACTATTTGTCCCCCCACTATAAGGTTGACACCTCACGTCAAAGACTTAATTTGTATTTCTTAGAACAATGCTTAGAGCACAGCATATAATAGATTTCAATGAATATTTGTTGAATAAATGATAAAAAATACACAGGATCACTTATTTCGGGATTAGAAAGATTTCAAAGATTAATACAAACTTTTCTGAGTTTCTGACCTTGTGAAAAAAAATTCTGATAGAATTCGACTCATTAATTCTATGTTTAAAAAAAACACACACACAGAAAATTAACTTTAAGTTGTTATGTGCATAAACAGTTACCTGATCTTTGAGATACTTTCTGATGTTTCGATGGGTTCGGGAGCATTCTGTTAATAAGCTGAGAACTGGAGTTAGGCCCTCTCTATAGCTGCTTCCCTAGAAAAAAAAAATCATACATGCTACATTAGTGTAGTTACTAATAGTGTTACTTTCTTCCACATAATGAGCATGTTATAATACTCCTTTTTGAGGGGGAGACATTTTATGCTATCCAATCTTTAAAAACCATTTAAAAATTATTTTCTTAACGATATTTCCATTTCATCAGCTTCATGTTTACCAAGGATTACTTCTATCCTTCCTGAATTTTGCTACTTTTTGTAGGATCCTCACTGGCTTAATCAATGAGCTTAAATGAGGCAAAGGCTTTGATGACCCATGCAAACTATCAATACCTTGCTGCCTTTCAAAGCAAGTGATAGATGAGAGAAATAAGCAACTCACAACAAATGGAAAGGTGGTGATTTTTCTTTTAAGGATGTCTTTTAGATAGTATAGAATGCGCTTATCATTAAGTTTTTTTGGGGAGTGATAATTTTTCTTTCTTTTTTTTATCATTTAGTATTTAATTTTAAAAAATTTTCCCCATATTTTTTTAATTAAACTATTATCTGTGTACATATCTTACCATTGCCCTACCTCCCATACATACCCTTCCTCCCCAGAGTTTTGTGTCCATTGGTTGTACTTATATGCATGTATACAAGTCCTTCGGTTGATCTCTTATCTCCCCCAGATCTCCCTACCTTCTCCGCTGTAATTTGACAGCCTGCTTGTTGCTTTACTGTCTCTAGGATTTATAAAACACCTATATAGAAAAGCAATTTTTCCTTTGTTTTTAGGCACTAGTCATAATTTTGGTGTTGCAGCAACACAATTTTCAGCTGTAAAGAAATAAATTCACTCAGTTTCAGTGATTTATCATATACTGGAACAAAGTGCTTTCCAGAGTACAGATAATTAGGCAAGGCGTCAGCTATTTTAAAAAGCTTAGATTAAAAAATCATGTCCTGCGATGCTTGTATATATGGCACATTTACATTCTTTATAAGCATTTCCCCAAGGCCTCCATTTTATCAGCCTTACCTTATCTATTCTCTTCTCCATAAAACTGAGTAAAACGTGAATGGCCTCCATATTCATACCATTGTACACCATGGTATTGTTTTTCAAAACTGTTTCTTTCTCAGCTGTTTTATCACTGGGCAGTTCATCTAGAGTCGTTCCCTCGTGCGTTGTTTCTTCATGTGTTAATGGACAAATGAGAACATCCAAACAAGAGACCGGAACATTGCTTAAAAGGTTGACTGCATTGCTGAAAAGCAATTTAAAAATACAATATTTTAATTTGATTGAATAGTCCTTTAAAATGCAAACACAATAAGAAGTTCAGAGGTGACTTTTAGGAGTCAATTAAAATGTTTCTTTTTCAAAATGAACCTTTAATATTACCTGCATTTATTGAGAGAGAGAAAATAAAGAGAACTATTTCAAATACACATAAGACAAAGTAGAAAGAACAGATGTTAAATGGACACACACAATCACATGATGTCATGCCACTTTCTAAAATGCTAAAATAGGAATTAGTGAGCTTTAACGCCAGTCTTCCATTTTATTATGACAAATGCTGGCTTTGCATTATTTCCTCGGGGTTTTAAATCCTTTTGTGGATACACCGGTGTTTTATTATTCCTTAGATTACAACATAAAGCATTTGAAAAGCACTGCATATAAGCAGTTTATCATGGAGGCAACAACATTAAAAGTCAAATATTATTAGATTAAGTTTTGTTCTTTCTAGATGAAGAAAAGACAATTTTTACATCACCCCCCCCCACTTTTTTTTTGGTAAAACATTTGCAGAAAATGGGTAATGGTGCTTTTCTTGAACTCTCATCACAGGTTTGTTTTTTTTTAAAAAAGGCCAACACAGCAATTTTCTATATCGCCTAGGCCTTTCTGTTATTTGTAAATGAATGCACAAGCCTGGAATGCACACCAGCAGGGGGAACTCAAACCTTGTATTTTTTTGTTATTCCCTAAAAATCTGGCACTGTTGCTCAGTGTACAAGAGATTAAAATGACACTAAAAATTAAAAAAATTATACATGTTCTCAATTAACATATTTTTTTCCTTCATGCACAATTTCATATTCTTTCATCTAAAAGGAGAAGCGGTGTTCTGTGCTAACTGGATCTTATAAACCTGTGTCTCAGAACTTCCTGATAAACAACAATGGAAAGACAGGCATTACATTTCCTAGTGACAGAGAAGCAGATCTAAAAATAGCCACATCCTGACTAAAAATAAACTCTTGCAAATGCAATTTAAAAGTCTAACCACTTGGAAACCAAATTCAGAGCTTAATGTATCTGATGCTGTCTTAATTTAGACCACAGTAATTCCTTTAATTTAGACTATAGTGACACTCTCAAGAATAAAACAAAATAACATCAAAACAGAAATAAAATACACGGATTTTTTTCCCTCTCCTTTACCCTGAAGTGTGGCTCCATTTCCCACAAAATGAGTATTTCTTTTCTTTCTTTTTATAATATGAAACATTTCATAAGAAATCAAAGTTTAAAAATTAGACAATGCAGAACAATGAATGGTAATGTAAAGATAGCAAAAATTTCTGAGTCAAGAACAAAAATTATTTAACAAGTCCTATGAATGAATGGTTCCTGGTAAAGATACAAGTTATTTCACTGTCCCCATTAAAAATCAACTATAGCTGCTGCTGCTCTGCTGTTACCATTACTATTAAACAAATCACCTAATTTTGGTTATCTATAAATAACCACAAATGGTTTAAATAAAATGCTTTCCTCACAAGCTTCCTTTAAAAATTTTTTGCAAATTTCTGGAGTTCCTTATCTATAGTTAAAAATGTTTTTGCTTTTGACTTAAACATTTGGGAACTGTTATTAAATATCGTACATTCATTAGGATTAAAATAAAAACTTTACTTTAGAATTACTTTCTAAAACTGTACAAACCATTCTGAAATGTTAGGTTTGTTTTTTTTTTAAACACAGGGCAATTGCTTCAGAGTCCTTCTATGGTATAATTCTCTGAATCTTCCATAGAGACCACATTGAAGTTTAAGACAATGCATTTCCTTACAAAGGAATGTTTCCCTTTAAATTCATTTAAAATAAGCAGGTTCCAGGAATTCGGTAAGTTTAAGAAACCAAATGTAGAATTTGATTCAACAAATATTTGGAGGTTTTAGGCTTTTCAAGAAAAGTTCCCATTTTCTCATTTCTTATTAAACAACTGGGTTTAATAACAAACAACTACAAAATTAATTTTCTGGCTCACTGTGTTTGAGCTATTCTTTTTAAGTAAGGAAGGCCAGCTTTTTGAGCTCTGTCACTTCTCTGACGGTTTTATTTGTGGTAGAAGAGTGTATGAAATTCTCCAGCTACCAGGAAGTCAGTGACTATGCACAGATCCGCACAATGGTGTTTGCATTCCTACTCCAGGGGGTAGAAATACTGTGTATATTACTCTCCCCTTTTCAGCTTCCTAGAGATCATTAATCACTGGGACATGACATCCTCCCACTCATGCTCCCAGCCCCCTCCTGATATGCAGATTTAAAAGCAAGGACTATTCAGAGATCCTTAAAGCCCTGATTAAAGCCTTGTTAGTTGTATGAGAAGGAAGGCAATCTAAAATCCAGTCCTGTATAAATCACTGGACTAAACATAAATTTAATACCAAATGACATTAAGGAGTATGATAACAGTACAGGTAGACCTACAGCGGTTAAATCTTCCTGGTCAAATGTGTGTTCTTTATGTTTGGGGCTCACATATCTTTATCATGGCTGGAAAATCTACTCAAGTGAACCTTAAGATCTCCCAAAGATTTGCAGGTATAGATATCTAAGTTTACTTTAATCTAACTCAACTCAGTAATTATTTATTAATTACTTGTGCTAGGCATTGCTTCAGGCAGGCATTATGATGAAAACATAAAGCTCCCTATGGAGCTTACTTTCCAGCGTGGAGAGAACAGTTAAGTAAACAAAACAGGTTAAGTTACCTGAACAGAAGGCGATTAAGTGGTCTGGGAGGAAAATCCAGAAGGGTAAGATAGCCCGGGATAAAGGGTTATGATGGTTAGGATAGATTTCACGGAGATGGTGTCATTTAAGCAAAGATTTAAAGGAAGTTAGGGAGTCAGCCATGAGCCCTCTGGGAAAGAGCTTTCCAGGAAGGAGAAAGAGCAAGGGCAAAGGCCCCAGGACAGGAGCAGCGGCACGTCGGAATTGCAAAGAAGTTGGTGTGGTTGCACCACCCGGCACAGATGGGGAGAAGGAGGACAGAAGATCATATAGATAACAGGGGTCAGATTGCAGGCTTTTATAACTTTACTTTTTATTCTGAGGGTAGTGGGGCGCCACTGCACGGTTTACGCCGTGACAGACTCTTAACTTAAGTTCAAAGGGCCACTCTGGCTCCTGCACTGGGTACAGGAGGAAGGACATCAACGCTGAGGACCAGTTAGGGTGTTACACAATAAGTCAGGTGAGTGCACAGGGGGATAACAGTGAAGTGGTCAGATTGGGACACATTTTTAATAAATTCCTGATAAGCTAATGCAGAGTATAAGAATCCAAGGTTCTAGCGTTAGGAGGTAGAAAGCTGGAGTTACCATAAATTGAAATGGGAAACACCATAGGAGAAACAGCTTTTTAGGGGAAGATTAAGAGTTTAATTTTGAATATATTAAGTTTGGAGTGCCTACCAGACTTCCTAGTGGAGATATTAGTAGGAAGTTAGCTATAAGAGCCAAGGTCAGGGAGAGAGATCTGGATTACAGATATAAAATAAGGAATCATTAGCATGTAGATCAAGCATGTCAAACTCGCAGCCCACAAGTATTTTTGCAGCCCAGACAATATAATGGTATGTAAGAAATGTTTTAATAAAAATTTAATGACTTAATTTTTATAATATCCTGTTATACATAATTTTTAATAATGAACTACAATGTTTGTTAATGACTGATTACTATGTTGCATTCAATTCCCTTACACACCTTACGTGCAGGCATACCATTTCTCTCCACTAATACTAGCAGCAAATATTTTAGCGGCCGATTGCCATGTCCTTAGTCTTATCCTGACTTGTTTGGTGTGCGCAATAGGAAACAATTCGCTTTTGGAGAACAAGAAAAATAAATTTATTTGCATTACGCTTATTAATTTGTGCAATTATTCAGTATCTGGTAAATTAATGTGCAAGAAAAAATATTTTTACTGAAGTATTCTATTATTTTATCTTAACGATAACTCATTGATTTTAGCCTTTGGTATTCAGCATGTCTCTATCAAAATAAACCTTTGTTTCTATGAAAATTTAAGCTTTTTTTTTTTTTTTTGCGGCCCACATAAACTTAAACCTTGTTTATTTGGCCCGTGTTAGCCTTTGAGTTTGACATGCTTGATGTAGATGGTACTTACAAATAAAAGATTGGATTGGATCAGTAAGGAAGTGTAGATTGAAAGAAAAACACATACAAAGAAACCCAACAAAACCCTTTGAGGACTGAGCCTGGGGCAGTCTATCATCCAGAGGCTGACTGGTAGAGGAAGAAGTTACAATTAGTGAGGTAGGAGGAAAACCAAGATAGTATGGCATCCTGGAAGCAAAGTATGTAAGACTGGAGTCACCTGTGACAAATGATGTGGACAGTAAGAAGATAACTGAGAAATGTCTTCTGGATTTAGCAATACAGAAGTCACCAGTGACCTCAGTAATAGCCATTCTGGTGCAATAGTGGAACTAAAGCCTGAGGAGATTGGATTCAAGAGATGATAAAAGAAGATTCAATCTGTACCTGGAGGAATTTTTTGCAAAGGGCAAGAGAAGACTAGAGGCAGGAGCAGATAGAGAAGGTTCAAGAAAACCTGGATAATTATGGCTAGAAAGACCCCTAAATACTACTCTCAGCAAAGCGTACCTTTTAAACCCACAGTTGCCTGGTCATTGTTCTCTATCTTTTTTTTATTAAAAAACTTTTTTTCATCTTCTAAATAAATCTTTATTGTTCAGATTATTACAGTTGTTCTTTTTCCCCCTCCATAGCTCCCTTTCTGGTTCCCATCCCACCCTCTGTCCTTACCCTCCCTCTCCCCACTATCCTCATCCATAGATGTACGATTTAAAAAAAAAAATGTTTTTTATTGATTTTTCACAGCGAGGAAGGGAGAGGGACAGAGAGTTAGAAACAATGATCAGCTGCCTCCTGCACCCTGGGGGATGCGCCCGCAACAAAGGCACATGCCCTTAACG